AATGGTCTCTTTTGATGTCACATCACTCTTTACCTGCATTCCTGTTGATGATGCAGTAGAGGTGGTCAGTTTAAGATTAAAATCAGACACCACTCTGAGCAGCAGGACCACGCTTTCCACAGAACAACTGTGTCAACTCTTGAAACTGTGCCTGCAGTCAACCTACTTCACATATGGGGAGCAATATTATAGGCAGAAACATGGGTGTGCTATGGGGTCTCCAGTTTCTCCTATTGTTGCCAACCTGTACATGGAGGAGGTAGAAAAGAGAGCCTTGACGTCCTTTTCAGGGACACCACCAAGTCATTGGTTCAGGTATGTTGACGACACCTGGGTTAAAATTAAATCTCAGGAAGTCCAACATTTTACTGACCACATCAACTCTGTGGATAAATACATCAAGTTCACACGAGAAGATGTAAAAAATGGCAAGTTGGCTTTCTTGGACTGTGAGGTCTCAGTCTCTGATAGAGGACATTTGCAAACCGAGGTGTACCGCAAACCCACCCACACAGACCAGTATTTGCAGTTTGACTCCCATCACCCTTTGGAGCACAAGTTAGGAGTCATCAGGACTCTGTATCACAGAGCAGACAGCATCCCCACTAGCTCAGGAGCCAGGCAGAAGGAGAAATCCTACACAAAACAGGCTCTAGAGCAATGTGGATATCCTAACTGGGCCTTCCTGAAAGCAGAGAAGAAACCCAAACAGGACTCCAGTCAGCCATCAGGTGAAAAGGAGGAACCCATACCCAGACCAGTGGTCATTCCGTATGTTGAGGGGGTATCAGAGAAACTGAGACGTTTATTTTCTAAACATAATGTCCCAGTGGCTTTTAAACCCCAAAATACATTACGGCAAAGACTGGTTCATCCCAAAGATCCAGTCCCCCGGCACAAACAGAGTAATGTTGTGTATGCTGTTCAGTGTCAGGAGGGCTGTGATGAGTCTTACATCGGAGAAACTAAACAGCCACTGGCCAAAAGGATGGCCCCGCACAGAAGATCAACATCATCAGGCCAGGATTCTGCAGTCTACACTCATCTCCAGGCCAGCGGTCACTCTTTCAAGGATGAAGATGTTCACATCCTGGACAGAGAGGAACGATGGTTTGAGAGAGGAGTAAAGGAGGCCATCTTTGTGAAAAGAAATCGTCCATCATTAAACAGGGGTGGAGACCTCCGGGTTCAACTGTCCCCCTCTTACAATGCTGTGATTGCTAGTATCACTCAGCCCTCTGTGAGTAGTAAACAGCCATCAGTGTGCTAATGACCCATTGTTAGGCTGATGGTCCTTCTTGAGCATGTGATCAGCTGGTTTTGGTTGTCAGTAGCAAACTGGTTGATCCACCCTGAGAAGGTGCTATTTAGGAGACTGAGCTGAAAACAGCACCTCAGACTGAGGAAGTCTCTTGGATGAGAGACGAAACGTTTCTAGATTTTTTTTTGCTTTGTTTTTTTTTTTTTTTTTTTTTTTGAATGTCCAGAGGACCAGATTGAACTTTTTTGGACTTTTAACAATCATTGAAAACTGAGTTTGAAAAACAGAAGGCATCTTCACATAGAGTTTCTGCATTATTCTAAATTTTAGAGACAAAATAATTCATAATAATCTTTTTTTTAGAATCAATTGTTGTTTAACTGAGTTTTGAAGTTAAATAGTCATAACTCGTTTTTTGCTATATCATAATACACAATGACATGTTGGTGTAAATATGTGTGTGATGAAGTCTCACCATGGTGGCAGTGAAGGGAATGTTGTCAATAAGTGAAGAAGCCAAAGCCGAGACCCACATCACTAAAATAATAGCTACAGCCAGCCGCTGGTCTTCTGGCACTGCCTGCAAAAAGGTAATTAGTGACAGATAAAGTAACTACTGTTTTCACCATAACTCACAAGTCAAAAACTGCTACCTGAAGCAGACTTAGCTTTAGATAAAAAAATCCATTCATGATCAATCTGTGATGCTAAACCTCTCATCAGGGAATGCAGACTCAGATAAGCTGTTTGATGACAAGATCTCAGGTGGTGACACTGACTTTAATCTGTAGACCTCTGCCAATTTTCCAAGTGTCATAAAGAGTGATTTAGTTTGAACTCTATTTAACTACATGAACAGACCAAAGGAAGCGATATCTTCTTCTTTGACCTGCCCTCCAGCTGAGAGGAAGGCTGTGTAATTTGATACATTTGGCCATTATTTGGGAACAGAGAAGAAGATTGGCATCCAGAACAGCAAATCCCCTGTCAGGTGTAATTATTAAACCCAAACTGGACCACAGTTTAAACATAAACCGACGTAGCCATTACTGATACAATTCTGCACTAAGTGGCAACTCACATTCATAACTGAAAGACAAGATGTGAAATACCTTTTTTTGTAATACCACCATCTACCCTCATGTTTCTCCCCCTTTTCCTATCGAAGATTATTATTCTGATAAAGGATAAGAAAAGGCCGCGCTTTCTATAGTTGCAGCTTCGTGGACTCCGCCCATCTTTCGGACAACTGTACGTACATGTTCGCTTTGTATCTCGGTGCAATGCCAATAAAGTTTATTATGATTCTGATTCTGAAAGGGGCAAGAACATGAGTGCATATTATCCGAGACCTCTTTGCTGGCAGAAAACAGATGTAAAGAAAATTTGTCATGATCTCTTCTCTCTGCCACCTGTCACACCCACTTCTCCACCACAATCACACTCATGCTCATCACCTGTTGCCCACTCTATATTAGAGCTCCGTCCATGCCAAGTCTCTGCCAGATTAGCAAACACTTTTTGTCAGTAGATGTCCAAAATTTCTTTCAAGCCCATGACTGATTTTCTTGTAACAACCTCATGCCTGTTTCCAGGATTATCTACCCTGTCTGCTCCATGTCTCGTTAATTCTTCTCATCTGATTTTGGTAAGTAGATTCCCCTTTGAGGCAGCACGGTGGCGCAACTGGTAGAGCTGCTGCCTCTCAGCGAGCAGGTCCCTGGTTCAAACCCCAGTCCAGGGGCCTTTCTGGGTGGAGTTTACATGTTCTCTCCATGCATGCGTGGGTTTTCTCCGGGTACTCCGGTTTCCTCCCACAGACCAAAAACATGCATGTTAGGCTGATTGGTAACTTTAAATTGTCCCTAGGTGTGAGTGAGAGAGTAAATGTTTGTTTGTCTCGTTTGTCTCTATGTGGCCCTGTGATGGACATGCGACCCGTCCAGGGTGTACCCCGCCCCTCGCACAGTGATTGCAGGACATGGGCACCGGCGACCCCCATGACCCAAAATGGAATAAGCGGGTAAAGATAATGGATGGATGGATGGATTCCCCTCTGGATTAATCCTCTGACCTTGGCTTCCCCGTGTATGACCCTTGTTCCACTACTTGGACCACAATTAAAATTTTCCCTTCTGTCAGATCTATTCTCAGCATTAAAGACCTAGCTCTCCAGCTGCTTGCACACCACATCATTACCACCACTGCCACTGTTCCTCTAAGCTCTGGGAGATGGCTCTGCATTTTGTCAAATGCTCCTCACCTATCTGAGAAGGTTAGTGGCTAATTTCCTACTACACTGCACATTCTCTGAGACCTACAGCCTACTAATGGTGTTCTCTCTTAAGATCAGTTGTGTGAGAGGATCCTAACTCCCACCAGCAGTCTTATCCTAATAAAAATTGGTAAAAACATCCTTTGTGTCTGGCTTAACTTGTGAATCCAAAACTTGGATCTTGTCAGTATAATCTAGCCAGAATTGATTACTTGTAGACACAAGACTCCTCTGGTGTGGAGGGAGATATAGTCAAATTAGAAAACAACTTGCAGAAAATGATGAACATGCTTCATACTATTTCTAATCCATCTGCTTCATAGGCTCTTCCTCAAGTGACTCTGTCTCAGCCAACACCACATTATCATATCCCCCCATTCACAAACCTTAGTCTGTCACTGCCAGAGAGTTTTAAAGGGGTCCAGACCAGTGTCAACCATTCCTGACTCAGTACAAGATCCACTTTCAGTTACAACCTTCTGCTTTTCCACCTGAATGATCCAAGGTGGCCTTTGCCATCTCTTTTCTTTCTGGTAAAGCAAAATTATGGGGAATGGCTGAATGGCAGCGGGACTCTATCTTTTGTTATTCATTCAAAGATTTTTCCAAGGAACTTTGCCATGTTTTTGATCCTGCCCTACCTGAGAGAGAGGCTGCAAGAAAACTATGTTCACCAAAACAGGGGAGGAGAAGGGTCACTAATTTCATCACTGATTTTCACACTGTTACTACAGATAGTAACTGGAATGAGGAGGCACTAACTGAGATCTTTTTTCAAGGGAAAAATATAAGGAAATAAGGCTGAACTGGCCACCAAAGCTCGTCCAGTCTCTCAAGCAGTTGGAGAATCTGGCCACCCATATTGATCTTCATTTCACAGAGAGACGGCGTGAGACGGGAGGCAGATTGAAGTTCCTTTGACATTGCTGTGGTGAGTCTAAAACTACCATGTTTGAAATCTCATCTACCACTGTGTCTATTTCTGAACAGGCCACAAAAGCCTATGCAGCTGGGCAGCGCCTCACCCAAGAGGGAGAGGAGGAGAAGATTTAACATTTGTTTTTACTGTGGGAACAATTGACACACAGTCTTCAAGTGTCCACTAAAATATGGGACTCAGTAGGTGAGAGGAGAGTCCTACTGAGTCATATGGCTGACAGCAAGATCTCATCATCTCATTTTTTAACTGGTACAGGCTATAGAGAGCACATCACACCAGTTTTGGCCTCCCTGCACTGGCTACCCATTCACCTTCGGATCCAATTCAAAATTCTCATGTATGTTTTTAAATCACTGAACAGTTCC